AGAAACAAAGAGAGGAAACAAGACTCATATAGGGAACAAACTGATGGTTGCCAGAGGAGCTGGGAGTAGGAAAATGGCCAATGGGTGAAGGGGAATGGAAGGTTCGGGCTCCCAGTTATGGAATGAATAAATCATGGGGATGAAAGGTACAGCATAAGGAATACAGTCAATGGTACTGTAAAAGTGCTGTATGGTGACAGCTGGTGGTGGCACTCTACAACATCAAAGTTGTCGAATCACTATGCTGTGGACCTGAAACTAATGTAACACTGTGTGCCAACCATACTTCAATTTATAAATAAATAAATAACACAAACAATCTTAAAAAAAAGGACAAAGGAACTCAACAGACATTTTTCTAAAGAGGATTTAAAAATGGCCAACAAGCACATGAAAAAATGCTCAACATCACTAGTCATCAGGGAAATGCAGATCAAAACCATAATGACAACACTTCACACCCAGAGGATGACTATAATCAAAGAAACAGACAATAACAAGTATTGATGTAAATATGAATAAATTACAACTTTCATACATCGTCATTGAGAACGTAAAATGGTGCAGCCACTTGGAAAACAAGGTGCCAGTTAGGCAAAGGTTAAATACAGAGTTACCACAGGAGCCAACATTCTACTGCAAGGTATATACACGGGAGAAATGAAAACATCTCCACATAAAAACTTTCAAATATTCCTGGTACCACTGTTCACAAGAATTAAAAAGTAGAAACTCAAATGTCTATGAACTGATGAGTGGGTAAACATAAGGAGGTATACCCATACCATGGTGAAATATTATTCAGCTATAAAAAGGAATGAAGTTCTAATACATGCTATCCCATGGGTGAATCCTGAAAACATTATGCTAAGTGAAAGAAGCCATACAGAAAAAGCCATATGTTGTGTGATTCCATTTAAATAAAATGTCCTGAATAGGCAAATCCCTTGAAACAGAAAGTAGGTTGCCAGGGACTGGGAGGAGAAGGAAATTGGGAGTGCTAATGATCACAGGTATTCTTTGGGGGTGATAAAAATATCCTGGAATTAGATAATTGCACAATTTTGTGAATACACACACAAAAAAGTTATACACTTTAAAAAAAGTAAATTTTTGGTATAGACTTATCTCAATATTTAAAATACACTGATAATTCCCCCCCCAAAATAATCCAACACTCACTTCTAATAAAAATTTAGATAAAAAGGAATAGATGAGAAGTACCTCACATTTTGCTAAAGAAGATCTACAAAAAACGTACAATTAACATCACACTTAGCTGTGAAAGACCTAAGACTGGGAACCAGACGGCTCCTCCCACCACCTCTAATTATGTAGAAGAGGAAATTCTAGCCAGTGCAATAAGGCAAGAAAAGAAGTAGGGGCGCCTGGGTGGCCCAGTGGGTTAAGCCTCTGCCTTCGGCTCAGGTCATGATCTCAGGCTCCTGGGATCAAGCCCCACATCAGGCTCTCTGCTCAGCAGGGAGCCTTCTTCCCTTCCTCTCTCTGCCTAACTCGCTGCCTACTTGTGATTTCTCTCTGTAACAAATAAGTAAATAAAATCTTTTTAAAAAGTAAGTAATACATAAATCTGAGAGAGATAAAACTACTCCTAGTTGCAAATGATTTATCTATGCAGAAAATGCCAAGAAATCTATGACAACTCCAAGAACTAACGGGAAATTTCAGGAAGGTTACAGTGTACCTATATAAGCAGCAAACTGAAGACAGCAGAGCGTGGAGAGCTGAGAAGTAGAGCAGTCAGTGGTCTGACGTGCAGGGTTCAAAAACTGGTTATACTGGGAGTCAGTGAACCAAAAAACAAAAATTAGAGGAGGGTTTTATTATGTTCCAAATGAGGTTTCTCTATGCTATCTAAATGTTCACTGACTTGAGCAAAGCAGGAGAGTAGGTGGTTTTCTTTTGACAGCTGCTGGACATCTTACCAGTCTCTCAAAGTTACCATAGAGAGACCAAACTTATCTGGATTAAGAATTCTAAAATCTTAATACATGCCCTTTTACGTGATTCTGTTTTGGTTCCAACAATTAAAAAGTAATACTACATACAGACAGCAAAAAGCTGAAATTTTAAAGGCCTCCAGTTAAGTCTTAATTCAAGATTTCCTTGCCATCTGCTATTTTTAACACAGATGCCTGAAAGAACTGTCTTCATTCTCAATCCTACCCCTTTACCACATACACATACATATATGTATATGCAGGGACAATATTTACAAGACATGGAAGGTTTAGAATGAAATGTTGTTGTGACACACCCAAAGCCACAGGATTTTAGTGCTCTTGACTGAATCATGTGTGTCGTGTTCATTAAAACTCATAGAGTATACAAAGGCTCTCCTGGGTAAGGCCTCCAGCCTGGGTGTGTTTCTCCTCCCCAGTGCCAGTATTATAATGAGATTCTGTTTCATAGTTATGATTTATAACACAGGTTATAAAGCACAAACTCACTTTTCAGCCACCACCACTACCTCTTTACCTGGTACTTTTCATCATGGTACCAACAAGTACCAAGGTTTAAACTGGGAAACCACACCAACTACACAAATTCACAAATTCACACACACACAGAATTAAAAGCTCATGTCTGGCAACTGGCTGGGCAGCCCTGCCCATGTACGCCATCAACACCGCTCACCACAGGAGTGTAAGTCCCCCATGGCTAGGATTCTGGTTCTAACTCTACCAGGAATGCACTGGAAAGCACATATAAAAGTATGTATACAAGTAGGGGGCACTTGGCTGGCTCAGGCACTAGAGTGTGTTACTCGATCTCAGGCTTTTAAGATCGAATTCCATGTTGGATACAGACATGACTTAAAAATAAAATCTTGGGGGCGCCTGGGTGGCTCAGTGGGTTAAAGCCTCTGCCTTCAGCTCAGGTCATGATCCCAGGGTCCTGAGATTGAGCCCCACATCGGGCTCTCTGCTCTCTCTCTCTCTCTCTCTGCCTGCCTCTCTGCCTACTTGTGCTCTCTGTCTGTCAGATAAATAAATAAATAAATAATCTTTAAGAAATAATAATAAAAAAATAAAATCTTAAAAAAAAGTAGGAGGCAATGCACAGAAGTTATGCCATGATAAAATTATATACAAATTATACAGTGACAGAAAAATGAATTTTAAGTGAGTATGAAAAAATGAACACTGATTTACTGGTGATAGCAGAATTACTGTAAATACTCTTTTTCAGCCCTCTTAATATTGTTTTTATAAACATATGGAAGAGAAATAAGGGGGGATTAGTGAAAGCATGTATAGAATTCTTTAATCAGTCTCTAAGAAACATAATATACAGACAAATTCCTTACTGGTAATGACAGGTACACAGCAGAGGAGGACTTAAAGATCTACATTCTGTTCCCTGCTCAGTCCCTACGTAGTAGCAGTGACATTCCCCCAAGTGAAAACCTTTTATTACGACTTCAAGTTTTCAAAATTTGACAGCTATGCTGTGATCTAAGATCCCTAGCAATTCAGAAATTGCTATGATGCAATGAGGGATCCAAAAGTTAGAAAAAGGGGTGCCTGGGTGGTTCAGTGGGTTAAGCCTCTGACTTCGGCCCAGGTCATGATCTCAGGGACCTGGGATGGAGCCCTGCATTGGCGGGGGGCGGGGGGGGGGGGTCTCTGCTCAGCAGGGAGCCTGCTTCCCCTTCTCTCTCTGCCTGCCTCTCTGCCTCCTTGTGATCTCTGTCAAATAAACAAAATCTTAAAAAAAAAAAAAAAGTTAGAAAAAGTTCTTGGTGGCAACTGCTTTGTGAGGACTTTACTCATACATTCATACACACTTATGCATCAAATTCACTTGCCTTTTCTTCACCTTCTGGAATCACAAGAAATAACCACTTGTCCTCAACCATCATCACAAAGTACAGTAAAAGAAATATAAGTACCAGAAACATTAAGTCACAATTCAAGTCTCAGTCACTATTCTGTTTATTTATTTGACAATATTTACTGCATACCTATACCACAAGCCAGGGACTCTTGCACTCAGGATAAAGAAGGGAATAATACAATGTCCTCGCCCCAATGAATAAACAAACTATTTTGCAGTGATACGCAGTAAGAAAGAACATTAAACAGAATGAAGGCACAGAGTTCTCTTAGAACGTCGGACGTGCTATCCTGGCTCGCCTTGGTAATAAGGTGTGTGTGCAGCCGAGGTCTGGGTGGAATGAGGAGGAGGAGGAGGGCCACAGAGACCCCCGAGGACAAATGTTTCACGCAGAAAGAATCATAAGCGCTGAGGCCCTGAAGCAGAAGCTTGGAATGTTCAAAATTAGCAAGGAGGTCAACAGGACGGGAGCCAAGAGAACTCTGGGGAAGAACACCAGATGACAAGAGAACGGTGGTCAGCATCAGATCATGTGCAGGGCCTGGTGGGCCAGGGTGAGCCACTGAGCCACAGTCTCCATGTGATGAAAACCTCGGGAGGATTCTGAACCGGGGATTAACATAATAAGAGTTACATCCGAAAAGGATTACTTGAGGGGTGCCTGGCTGTCGCAGTGGACAGAACATGAGACTCAATCCCAGGGTCGTGAATTCAAGTTCCACATGGGGTGTGGAACCTACTTAAAAAATTTTTTTACTTAAAAATAATAAAAATGGAAGGAATATTCTGATTGTTGTATGTAAAACAGCCTGTAGGTACTTGGGGAGAGTAACAGCAAGGACGCTGGTCAGAAGGCCACCGTGAGAGCACAGGTAAAAGACTACAAGGACTTGCACTAGGAGCAGAGCGGCGGCTACAGTCAGAATTGCCCAGGTCTCCAAGCTCCTGAGTTCAGTGTACGCTCCAAAAGAAAGTCGGCGACAACACCACAGTTTCTGGCCTGGCAAAGTGGGTACATGGAGGTAAGACTTCAGACCTAGACACTGTCCTCAAGATATCAAATTCAGCTGTTCAGACCTAGCATATTACTGACCTAAAACTGAAAAGGCAAAAATAGAACGACTGCTTTTTCTACTTACCGTTTGCTGACTGTATCATGTTTCCAGATTTTTGGACTTCATCAAATTTTGTAAAAATTACATTCAACCTGTATGGAAAAAAAAATACACTTGTATATATAGAAACTATTAACTATCACCATTTACAGTCAATCATGTTAAAACACTAATGTGAAGTTGAGTCACACCCCCCACAAAAAATCAAGGATACAAACCCACCTAATAACAAAAACAGTAACTACATTAATAACATTAATAACATCCAACAATAATCGAGCACTTATTATAGACTAAGCACTGGCTTAGGACTCTCTCTGAAAAATCTCAATCCTTACAATAGCCATATGCAAGATTATTATCATCTCCATTTCATAGATGAGGAAACCAGAAAACTTACTCTAGCTAACATGGTGAGTTCAGGTGGAGATGGCAGCCCTGAGAGTAAGAATCCAGAGCTCAGGATCTCAGGCACTGTATTAAATGGTTGACCGCTCTACACAAAATGTATACATTATGAAAAGCGTATGTTTCTCCTATTTCTGTCTAAGCACAGACTGGTGATCACTTAGGATAAAGATTTTCAGAATCCGCTGACATTATAATATAAAGGCTTTCCTGTGACTTACACTTAATTTAAAAATGCTCTAAATAATTTCTCCAGAAACAAGCACTGTGACTAGATTCTTTAGCTGAAAAAAATCTACATTTATTTTCTTTTAATGGATCAATGTCACCTTGACACTGAAATTGAAACAAAACTCCTTAACCAGTCAAAACATTCCACCCTAGTGACACCAGTAATGAGAAAAACTGGGAGCAGGATGGGGTGCAGGGGTGCTAATCTTGCCTGGTAGAAGTCAAGAAAAAAACGAGGCTTTCTGAAGCAAAACACAGACACGCTGGAATAAGAGTGAAGGATGAGAGTCTCAACGCAATGTACTTCTGCGTTCAGACCCACACCACCCATTTCCAGGACCAGACTAAAAATTTTAGCACTTGCTTATAAACTGTCCTGTCAGACAAGCTGTAATTAGTTCAAACATGTTTGTCTTTTCTTCACAACTACAACAGACTCTCCTTTGGGATAGGGATGGGAACTATATACTTCTGGTGTTCTGTATTCATCAAATACCATGTCATGCAGGAGCGTTACATCCCTGCGTGAATCCTGTTCTTGTCCTCATTATGGAAACTAGGTACATCTTGGTCTCCATTCATCCATAGTTCATTCACTGAGTCCAGCACCGAGCTGGCCAGAGGATAAGTGTGTAACGTTCTTAACTTCTAAAGCTTCTACTTCATTCTTTTCTTCTTAGAATGTCACATTCTAAGTAAGAGGGGAGCCAAAAGTACACATCAGCAAGGAGACGTAAAGTGAGGGGGATGAAGGAGCTGAAATACTGCCTTCCCCCCCATTCCCGTTCCATGGCAGATATCAATCTTTTTTGCCCATCTTTCCATCTAAAGCCCAGATGGGAGCCTCGAAATCCTTCTCAAAGCCACTCCAGGCAGCCACTACCAATGAATCAAAGATGGCACTGAATTACAAAAATCTTGTCATCTCAGGACCAGATAGGAGTAAAACTCACTTTCAAATCCAGAGGTTACTAAAAGATCTGGAAAAAATGCCTCAGAATCAATTTCTTATGATGTTTCCATCACCTTCCCTCTTAAAAGCACCAAAGATCTCCAGTGGCTTACAAAGCGTGTGAATAATGTCACTACACAGGTTGCCAGGGCATATACCCTGACCAACTTCCCACTTTATTGTGTCACAACTACACCCTCTGATGTGAGCAGGCCTGCAAGTTTGCAAGTTAGGAACAAGGCAGCCCTCCCACCTTGGCTGTTCCTAAAATTCCTGCAAGAGGCAAGAATTTCACCCACTGTTGGTTAGAGTAGTCACCATTCTCAGTGGCCACCGTGGGAGAGTCTGCAGATGCTCTCGCTGTGGCAAGGTCTACTCACTGGGGCCACATTACCCACACCTACAACAAGCTACCCACAAGCTGGCCCAAACAACTAGGTATGAGAATGCACAACAGATTACTACTTTTGGTACTGTACTTTAATTCAGAATTTCCTCAGGCAGGTATGCCTCACCCTCTACTCACACTTCTGTCTCACTAGCTGCCTCATTTTCTGCTCAGTGATGTCTATACAGGGGATCCCTAAGAAGCTTACCACCTCAGGAGGGCAGTAAGCTGGCTTCAGGACAGTCTAACACCAACAAAGAATTCCTGAGGAGTGGCTTCTCTGCCTTCAGCTCTGAACACAGCAATATGAAATGCCTCTCTGGGACCAACGAATTTGCACAAACCTTAAAGGGTGAGTTTTATACATTCAAAGACACTGCATATATAACTAAGGATTACTCTCGAAAGGCACCAACTTATTTTTCTTTCATTTTTCATTTTAAATCTCTGGATCTCAAATTTAAATTTTGACAAGTAACCAATACCATTTTCCCCTGGTTTTTCTGAACTCAAAATTTATATTCAACTCTTCAATCGAACTGGCATTTATTTTACTATAAGATCTAGATCTAATTATTCCTTCCTAGAATATCTTATAAATTTAGGGGCGCCTGAGTGGCTCATTTGGTCGGGCGCCCGACTCTTGATTTCAGCTCAGGTCATGATCTCGGGGTCATGAGATTGAGCCCCATGTCTGGCTCTGTGCTGGGTGTGGAACCTGCTCAAGATTCTCTCTCTCCCTCTCCCTCCTAATCCCATGACTCTCTCTCAAATATTAATTAATTTTAAAAATTAAAATGATTTCATAAAAGCAAATACTAGTCTGTTCACAATCAACAAGACCCATCCATACGCTCAGAACTTTTCATTGACTTTTTAGTCCACTACTCTTAAATATGAGCAGATAACCAAGCATTCAAAGACACACAAGCAAAGTTTTTAAAGTGAAAGAGACCAACATGAATAAATACATACTCCAAAATCACAATACAGAGGAAAGAAGAGGCAATGAGAAGTTTTTAAAATATATCATTAATACTTCCAAACAGATCAAGAAAATACTGCAATTATAAAAACTAACATGGAAGGAGCCCTTCAAAATGACAGAGTAAGAACCCCTGAAAATCTGTTCCTCCAAAGAAGCAAATAAAACATTGGCAAAAATCTGTCAAAATCAAGTTTTTCAGGCTCTGAAAACAAAGGCTTGCAACAATCCAAGGAGCATTCTTCAAGAAAAATGGCTAATCTTGGTAAGGACAACAAGCTTTTCACTGTTTTGCTGTATCTTATTTCCATCTCCAACTGACTAGCTAAATAATCAACACATCAAATCATGGCAGTTTGAAAACCAGCAGCCTTAAAGCCACTGGGAGAAGCTGAACAAGTGTGGAGCAGCATAAAAATCCCCATTCTAAGAGAACTGTAATTATTTCACCTATCTGGCATATTCCAGAATCCCCATTCACAGTGTTTTACTTGACCTGATTCACAGCATGCTTAGTGGTTGAGACTCTTTTCCCTGAAGCCATGATCAAAAAGAATCCACAGCAACTGTTTAACATGGCAGCTGCCTGAGATGATAAAACTGGAGCAAAGACACTGACCAAAAACTTACAAAGAAAAATGGAGAAAGATATCTTCTCAAGGAACTTTGAAAAAATCTGACATATTCCTGGGAATCTGCAAGGCTACATATATGTGCAAGACTGTAAGAAAGACTGAGGAAACACCTAAGAAGTCACTAAGGTCTCATGCCTGGCTGACCTTGAGGCTCTGCACAAGCAGCCAATAAAGGGAAAGGCAGTGATGTAAAAACTGCCTGCTAGAACACCGAAAACATTCCTCAACACACCCAGACAGCCCTTCACCAAAGACTACGAGATTTACTGGTTAAAGGCATTCAAGGAAATCTCTGTCTAATCATTAGCTGAACACTAAGTTAACCAGAGACTTCAGTAGCCATACACATAAGAAAATAAAAATAAAAATACAGGCCGTATGCAATTAGTTCAGGAAAATCACTTAAGCAAGGAACAACAAAAACAACAAACACCACCAACAACAAATGTGAAGAGAGAGCAAACAGGATTTCCAAAGTTGTCACAACAGATTATTGTAAATGACCAGTTTCAGCTGGTCAAGTATAAAAAAATTACACATGTAAAAAATAAGAAAATATGGCCCATACAGGGAGAAAAAAAATTAGTCAACGGAAACTATCCTTAAAGGAAGCCCAGACACTGAACTTAATAGATGAATACTTGAAATCAACTATTATAAATGTGTTGGAAGAACTAGAGGAAATTACTTCTAAAGAATTAAAGGAAAATATAAGAACAATGTATCACCAAATAGAGAATATCAATGAAAAAACAGAAAAAAATAAGAATCATAGAGAAGTTCTAAAAATGAAAAGTATAAAAACTGAAATAAGAAATTCACTAGAGGGGTGCCTGGGTGGCTCAGCGGGTTAACCCACTGTCTTCGGCTCAGGTCATGATCTCAGGATCCTGGGATCAAGCCCCGCATCCGGCTCTTTGCTCAGCGGGGAGACTGCTTCTCTTTCTCTCTCTTTCTCTCTGCCTGCCTCTCTGCCTACTTGTGATCTCTGTCTAAAATCTTTAAAAAGAAAAAAAGAAAGAAAGAAAGAAATTCACTAGATAGGGCATCTGGCTGGCTTGGTCAGTAAAGCATGCAACTTTTGATCTCTGGGTTGTGGGTTCAAGCCCCATGTTGGTATAGAGATTACCTAAAAAAATAAAACCTTTTAAAAAATTTCACAAGAGGGCTCAACAACAAATTTTTGCTGGGGGAAGAAAAAAGATGCAACTTGAAGATGAATCAATTGGCAATACCCTGAGAAACAAAAAAAGGACAGAGCCCAAGAGTTCATGTTCTTATAATACCAATGTACCAACATACATATAATGAGAATTACCAGAAGAGAGAAAAAAGGCAGAATACATGGTGAAATAATGGCCAAAAACTTCACACATTTTATATAAAATTTTAATCTACATGTTCAAGAAACAAACATCAAATGGGATAAACTTAAAGAGATCCTAACCTAGACAAAAGAGAAACAAACTGTTGGAAGAAAAGACAAAGAGAAA